GGGGGTAGATTAATCAAAGAACTTATACGTTTAGAAGCATAACCCATGGACACAGACACTAGTTGGGGAAGGCCTGGGGGTGGGATGGATGTGAAGTGGAGGGGATCAATGGGGGTAAAAAGGGGACATCTGTAATACTTTCAACGATAAAGATAAAGAAACTTTTTTAAAAAAAAATGCTCCCAAACCTACAAGACTGGGCAGAGGTTGTTCTCTTCCCCAGGGCTCCCCAGGGCATTTTTAGGACAAATAAAATCAGAAAATACTTTGCACAGAGGTAGTATGTCTAGAGTCCATTATCCACAGGAAGGGAGAAAGCCGAACACAAGTAGGTTCAAGAGAGTTTAGATATATTCTCGGATGGCATTCCCAGGACAGTGAAGACGTGTAATTTACGGAGTGGACCTTCGGGCCCCAGGGCTAGTTGTCATCTAAGAGGTCGGGTCAGGAAACCATGCTGAGGAACAGGTAGGCAGGAGAGGACGGTGCCTGAGGGATCGGCACGGTGCCAGGCACTCTGTGTGGGAAGCACGCCTGTTCCTGGGGGCTTGGTGACTCCCAGGGACCACCTGGAGGTGTGGGGACGTGGTGATCCCCTGGGGTCCGGTCCCAGAAGAACCCTCCACACTCTCTAAGCCTGTGCAGGAGGAAGAGGAGGACTGGGGTGAGTAAGCTGGGGTCCCTGACACCAGAGATGCCCACCTGGGTGTTCTGTGTGGGGATCTGCAGGACCAGGGCCAGCGTGTTGTGGTCAAAGTTCTCGTCCAGGGCCAGCAGGGCGCCATGCACACCGCTCTCCTGCAGGTTCCCTGCATAGTCCCGAAGCCCGATGGACTGCACCCAGTGCACCACCTGCTCGTTGGTCCAGACCAGCACGTCTGGAGGCGGAAAAAGGAAGAGCAGAAAGAGCCAAATGGGCAGAGGTGGGGCTCCCCAGGCCAGAGCCCAGCCTTCCCTGCTCTCAGTTCCCCACCATGTGTGGCCCCCTCTTTCCTCCCTGGCACCAGGCTCCTGGGCACCAGCCCCATTCTGCTCTGTCCCTGCCAGCCTGCAGGGCTCAGGGTCAGGACAGCGGGCTCCTGCCTTCTCCCCAGAGCCCTGGGCTGCAAGGGCTTCCTCTTTCTGCCTTTGAGGTCTCCTTCTTGTCCGGCCCCACCCAGACCACAAGCTCCAGCCTCACGCCAGTCCACAGTGCAGTCCTGGGGACTCCCTGCAATAGTCCGAGTGGTGCCAGTGTATGGTGTGGGGGTGACGGCCACGGGGCCAGGGCTCCTTCCCCATCAGGTGGCAGGATCCTGCGGGCATGCACCACATCTCCCTCCTCAGTCCTGGAGCCCCCACTCCTTCCCTCTCAGCTTTGGAGGGAGGACCCTGCACCCCACCCTACCCCCAGCTCCTTGTACCTTCAGAGGAGGGCCTAGAGGCAACACGCTCACCCCTGATCTCGTGCTGGCTTTCCTCCCGCCTCTTCTCCAGCTCCTTCCGGTCGTAATTGAGCCTCTTCAGACACATGATGCCGTACTGAAGGCTGGTTCTGCAGGCACAGCCCACCCCCCCCAGCCGCCACAGCCTCAGGGGCCACGTTCTGGCCAATCTGCCCCATGTCCACACCCACATCCTCCAACACAAACAGCCCCCAGCCCACTCTGCTCCTCGCCTGCACACGACCCACCAAGGCCACTTCCCTCTCTGCCTCCCCACGTCTATCCTCCCCTAGCCCTAGCCCGGCATGGGCCTCACACGAAAGGAAGGTTCTCACAAGGAAAGCAGCACATCCCTCCCTCTCCAGAAACTGAGTGACAAAGACCTGGCTGCCCACTGGTCATGGGAAAAGCATAAACAAGATGCCTTTTGTGTTCCATTTCACTCGACTCCTCACAAAAGCCCACAGATGCTGTGGGATCTTCCTACACCGTCGTCTGAGCTCCCTGGCTGCATGCTCTGTCCCTCGGCTGCAGGGGCACTGACATCCCTGCCTGGCTGCCACAGGCCTCAGGGCCTTTGCACTGGCTGTTCTGCTGCCTGGACCACTCTCCCCAGTCTGCTGCTTTATATCTTTGCTCAAATGTCCCCATGCCCACCTGACTATATGACCATCACCACCCCCAGGCCACACTCCCAGCCCCTCCACCCGGTTCTAATTTTTTCCTGTCACCTCTTGATACCTATGATGTAGCCTGCCAGTTAGCACGAAAGCTCCATGAGGGTGAGAAACTTTTTTTGTTCCCTGATGGATCTCAACCTCCTAAACAGTGCCTGGCACACAGTGCACATCATAAATGCTTAATGACTAAAACAGTAATTCACGGGAAGGACTGAAAGCACTTGCAATGTAGCAGGTGCACAGGGAGCACTCTGGAGCACTTGCTAAATGACAACCAATAATCAAGAACCACAGAAGCTGTGGGTTACATGGGACCCAAGAGGCCATCACACCAAGAGCCCACCTAATGCAGGAGTCAGGACACCTGTGCCTCGGCCCTCTGGTGATGGAGAGCTCACTACCTCTCGGGGCAGTGATCAGCGTGGCTGCCCCTCCTTAACCTGAACGGCACTGTCTCATAGCCTCTGGGTGCCATCATCTGTGAGGCTGAGGAACGGGAGAGAAACTCTGCCAACCCCAACTTCTCTTCACTCTACTATTGAGGCCATTGCTCTGTGAGGTTAGATTGGGCAGACAGCTCCCTCCTCTGGCCCTCAGCTCCCCCAGACCTTCTGCCTCACAGCTCAGAGACACCCCTTCCAGGAACTACAGGCCTGTGCAGCCTGAAGCTAGTGCTAGAAAGGACTTCCGAAAACCTACCACTCCTCAAAACATTTCCAGCCACCTGTTCTCCAACCCAAATGCCTCCTGGGGCCAGGCACACATATTTCAAATGGGCGAGAGCTGGCTGGGGGGACTGGGGGGGCTTTGGGGGCCAGAGAGCACCTACACCTCAGGGGGCTGTCCTATCCAGCTCCAGCTGGTTGTGTCCATGCTGCAAGTGTCAACAGACCTTTCAGTTTTTGAGGAGCCAGACATGCAAAATTCTGTGTAAAATTTCCTAGTGCTTAAAAACTGGCAACTAAATACTTAATTTTTAAAATACCATGTGGGCCAAATAAAACACATCTGTGGGCCAAATCTTGCCCACGGGCTGCCAATTTGGGACCTCCACAGCAGACACCTTTGAACAGAAGATATTTTCAGCAAACAGGAGGGGAGGACTGGATACCGTCCTATAGAAGAGAAGGTGGGTCAAGAGCTGCGAGGCTCAGATCTGGGACACCAGCAGGGCAGGCACTCAGAAAGACCTTTCCTCCAGCTCAGAAGGAATCAGTCACCTAACCTAAATGCTGGGTTCTGTCGAGTCTTCTCAGGGTAAACAGAGAATCCAGCCCTGGGAGAGACCTCCAAGAAAGTGAAACTAAAGAGATACGACTTTTTGTGTCTTAAGGGTTGAACAGGAGAGAATTCAGCTTTTGCAAGAGGGAGCTGTTACCACCCAGAACGGGCCACAGAAAAAGATGGGGCGCCTCTATCCTGAAGACAGAGCCCAGAGCAGGAGGGACTTGTCTGGAGGTGGCCGGCCCCGCCCTGCTTACCGGTGGAAGCTGTCCACCATCTTCAGGTGCACCCGCAGGTCCTTCTTGGTCAGGTGGTCCAGCATGCGCGCATCCACCAGGCACTCCATGAAGTAGCTGCGGTACTGGGGCAGCCCCAGGCTGGGCAGCCACTCGTTCCCGATCCACTCGTGGTTCATGTCCCCGTAGGCCAGAGTCTAGGGAAGAAGGCAGGCTGCAGTGGCCTGTCTGGCTGACAGACACAGGACCCCACCCCCTCAGCAGTTCAGTGAAAATTCAGCTTATTTGCTCAGCGGCTGGGAGTGCTGGGGCTGCGGTTTAAATGGAACTTTTCTGGGTCCCAAAACCATATGGTTCCACTCAGATACCAATTATCTGCACTAATGACAGAGCAGCTACCCAGAGCAGGGGACGTGACCCTCCAGTCCCTGGAACGCGGCTGTGGCTGTGTGGCAGCCACCTTCCGGATTTTGCAGGCTCACCCCTGCTGTGCCCAGGGCACCGGCTGCAGGGCAGAGCAAGCCAGACTAGGAAAAACCAGGACGGCCGTCTGCTCTTCCCCACTAGGGGCCCACTGCGCTGGGCTTTGTATCCCTTGCTTGAAAAGTCTCAACAGTTTTTACAATCACCAATATGTGTTTCTCTAAGACGGCAATTTTCAGCCTCTTTCCTCTCACAGCACATAAACTAATTACTAAAATTCTGCAACACACCAAAAAATATATTGTATTTTTTGCAGATCGGACAAAAAAAGGTATGATTTTGACTCATTCACACTGGATTGTTGCGTTGCCTGTTGTCACCTTTTTGACAATCTAAGGGAAAGGAGGTCAGTGCCCCTGACTCAATAGTCAGCTATTGCACGTTTTAAAAACTCTTGCAGCACACCTGTTGAAAATCACTGCTCTAAGCAATACACTATCAGTTTTGCTTGTTTTTGTTTTAGTATAACATCCTGACATTGTATTTTGAGGACCCAGGCACTCCCTCGCTGCATGCGGATGGAGTGACATCCCTAATGCACAGGTTTCCCTGTGAGGATCTGCCGTGCAACTCAGAGCTCCACACTCTCCATGGCACTCGCCCAACTCCCTGTCCACGGGTTTGGTTGTGTGTTTACTGCCTGTCTCCACTAGAATATATAAGCCCCAAGAAGGCTCAGTTTGTTTACTCCTGTATCCAGAGCCTGGGAGGGCCGAATGCCTTGTACCTGTTCAGAGAACACTTGCTCAGTGAGTGAGTGGAAAAGAGGACTTTGCTCAGCTCACCAGGGCCCCCGAGAGGGGCAGAGGGAGAAAGAGGATTCTTCCAACCCATCTCATTATTCCCGAAGGGAGTCCAACTGGTGGAAGAGGCAGGCACGAGGTGGGCACAGCCCCCCAGGGCTCCTCACCTGCCAACCTGAGAAGCCTGGACAGCAGTTAAAGGGGAACAGGGAGGGAGGGTCCTCAGCAGGAGGAGCACCTGTGGGAGATGCTGCCCTGAACTCCAAGTCCCAGACAAGGGGAGTCTTACCTGAGCCCAGCTGCCCTCCTCACTGTCCTAGCAGGAACCGTGCAGCGTGAGGGGAAACAGGCCAAGTCAACGGCAGGCACCCCGGGGCCCATCCAGAGGGAGCCCACGCGGAGAGGCCGGGCGGGTGACGAGGGGAAGCGTGTTGTGTTGGTGAAGAGAGAACAGGAGGCTGGGGTGTGCCATGTTTGTGGTAAGAGGGCAGCAAGTGTGTGTGTAGGAGCAGCATAGCCCAACCCCATCCCCGCACAGGGCTCAAGCGGGAGGCGGGACCTGGGTCCAGGCCCACACAGGGCAAAGCTCTCCGCACGCTAGCTCAAGCCCCTGCAGCCTGGGCCGAGCTGTGATGGTGGAATGGACCCCGAACACACACACGCACACACACACGCACACACACACATGCACACACGCACGCACACGCACGCGCACGCACGCACACACACCGCTTTGTCTCGCTTCTTCCCCACCCACCCTCTATCTGAGAACAAGCTCGGTCGCACATCAGGGACACTAATCTCACATTGGGTCAACTTCCCACAACCTTCCCCTCACCCTTGGGGGGTTGTCAGCCCTGACCCCGAGCCCAGGGCTGACTCACTGTTTTAGTGGATGTTGCCAGAGTTTCCATCTCTTCATGGGTGACCCAGACGTTCCCGGACGACTGTAGACAGAAAGAAAATGTTGCTGGTCCTGCAGTGGGTCCCCAGGTGTCCCCATCAGGCTGGGACCCCCAACGACAAGGACAAAGCTCCTTTTCCAATCTGCCCACAGGCCCGGCCCAGGGCCCATGGTGTCGTGTGGGAGGCAGGAGCTGGGCCTGCTGGGACCCCAGAATCAATGCCACCCCTCTGAAGACCAGGTGGAACCTTTTGTGGGGATGGAAGGGAAGGACACAGCTACCATCTCCCCAAAGACCAATGGGAGACTGCAGAAGTCATCCTGGGGGGGGGGCACTCACAGTCCTGGAGGTGGGCGGGGCAGAGGGGCTGGTCAGCGATACCATCTCCTGGATGGCCAGCCGCAGCTTGAGCCGGTGCAGGGCGTTGCTGATGCCGATCTCCCGCTGGATCTCCGTGTCCGACAGGGCTGACATGATGGCCCCACTCTTGACGTTGGCCCGGCAGGCCGCCACATACCAGGCAGGCATCCCTACCCAGAGCTGCAGATACGGGCATGGGGTCACTCAGCCCTGTCTCCAAGAGCTGGGCAACACCCAGGGCAAGGCCAGGCCCCAGCCAGGGCCTCAGGAGAGCAAATGTGGAGATGACCACCATCAAACACCCCTTTCTCATTTATAGTGAAAACAAGCCTGGGAAGAGACAGGGTTTCCCAGTACCGAGGGCGACCAGCTCCGGGGGGATAGAGTCAAACTGCCTGTGGGCAGCTCTGGCTTAGCGGTCCCAATCCATCACGGTAACTGCTGTGTTGCTAGGCATGGAGGGTGGGGGAAAGTGCTAGGTCACACGTGTTCTTGGCAGGGGAGAAGCATGTTGGGAAAGTTCTGCCTGAGGAGTCCTCGCCCACCCCTGGGCCCTGAACAAACCCCTTTGCCTAGGTTACCTCCAGCCAGGAGACCACGGTAGGGCCGTCCCACTGGGCAAAGGGCATCCCTTTTCTTCGGGCATCTTCAAGCAGCTGATGTCTTGCAGAGAGAGGAACAGACTCAGCAATCCTTCCCAGTCTCTCCACCATGCTGACTCCCAGGGACCGTGGGCTGTGCCCTATGTTGGGCTCCCCTCTCCCCGCCCCTGAACTGCCACCTCTGCTCCGCGCCTAAGGCAGGGTGACAGAAGGCATGGTGCAGAAACCCTCCATCTCCGAGGGTGAGGGCTCTCACTCTGCACACGGCCCGACCCACAGACAGGTCCGTCTGCTCTGCCAGAGCCACAGCCCCCAGTCTCCTTCCTCAGGTCATCCTGACAACCAGCTCCCAGCCCTGCTGTGACCACACAAACCAGGCCATCTCTGCTAAGAAAGGGCCTTGCTGGGCTCTGGCTGCCTGAGCTCAGTCCCATGGCACCCAGGGGAGGGGGAGGAGGTGGTGCCCCGGGGGCCGGGCAGTGGGTGGCACCCAGCTGGCCTGCGGTGCTCACTTCTTCCTCAGCCGCCGGTCCTTCTCTGCCTGGGTCCCCAGCTTGGCAGGCACCAAGGGCTCCTGCAGCCCGAGCTCGGAGTCTGTTAGCAGAACTAGAAGGGAAGCAATGGCAGGTCAGTCAGACCCTCTGCTGGTCCCCCCTTGGCATGGTCCAGGACTGGGGAGCAGACCAGTGGAAGCTACTCCCTCAGTGCTTGAAAGCCAGGGCCTGACAGGACCACCCACAATTCCGGGAGCCTCCTCTCAGTGTCCCCGTGCCCAGGCTACCCCAGCCCAGTCTCCTGGAGCCTCAGCCCTGAAGGCATTTTCCAGCTGGATGGAGCCACACTGTGTGACCCTAACGGCAGCAGAATCCTAACCGGAACTTGTCCCTCCTCCAAACCAAGGTGTAAAGGAGACCCAGAGAGCAGGGCACGAGGAGGCTCAGAGAGGATTCTTCTGACCCAGGTCGGGCGGGGGGATGGCCTTTCTCGGGTGCCCTCACTTGCCAAAACCACAGAGGAACATGCACAGGTCTGCCCTCTTCTACCACCGACCTCCTGAACACAGGGCATACGCCTAGAGGTCCTGGCAAGGGCAGCTGATCCAGAAACCAACCTGAGAGGCCGGCTTAGGGTTAGGTGCCAACATGGTGGGAGGAACATAGGGAATCAGAAGGCTTCACACAAAGCCTCTCCACTGGTCAGCCGCAGCTCCCTGGTCTGCGGCGACTCAGCTCCCGGTGCAGGGGGCAGGCTCCATCGCCTGCTGAGGCTCCCGCACGGAGCAGAGGTGTCCCTCCCTCCCCCTCCTCCCGGCTCAGCCCGCTAGGTTCTGAGTCATACCTTCCCGGGTGCAGGAAGGTATAATTATGCAATTATGCAATTATGCAATTATGTATTGGGCTCCAAAGTTCCTTTTCTCATTGATCATGCAGGTTCCTCCCCTGCATGAAACTGGTGAATGCGCCCACTGCCTTGGGGGCTTCTAAACCTCTTTGGCTGATTTTGCCAGGCCCTTATAAGCTCGTCTCAGCCTCAGGTCCAAGCCTCCCCCCCACTCCCCACCCTATCCTACCCACATTGAAAACTCCATCGCAGACAGAACTCTCACACCCAGGCCTTGACCCCTCTCAGACCTGCCAGTGGAGGCAGCTGCTCCCGTGGCCCCCGCTGCGCTACGCTGAGTCCAGAGCTCCCGAGGCACCTCGGGCATCTCGCTGTCATTATACTGTCCTGGAATCGTCCCTTCATTTTCACCTTTTCATTAGCATTCCTTGAAGGAATGGACCTAATACTGAGCCTGCATCCAGAATTACTCAATAAATGTCTGCTGAACAAAGAACTGAGGAGACGTGGGGACGCGAGGAGAGAGGGAGGGAAAGCAGAGGGCTAGCACGGGCTGTGTGCCTACCACGTGCTGAGCACGTGCTAGGACTTCACACCATCTCACGGGTGCAGTGCCCCTGCTGCCCAGCACCTGCTTGAATACAGGGTCTACAGAGCCATAACCAGCATTAGGAAATGTAGAGTCCTGGAGGCCAAATGAGTAGAAATATGTTCTAATCAAGACCTGACTCTCCTGAAGAACAAAGGAGCTTCTGAGGGTGCTGAGCACAGAACGTCAGAAACCCTCCTCGCTGGCTGGTGGACACCTTCTGTTCCACACAGGAACCCCTCTGACAGCTGCTGCCTGACACGGGAGTGGGGGAGCCCCACCTGGCCATCTGCGGTGGAACAACAGGCTAACAGAAGCCCTGCCTGCCTCTGACCCTCTGCTCCAGCCCATCTGCTAGGAGGGGCAGAGACCATGGCCCGTGGCTCCATCGCGGCTCAGCTGGGTCAGCCGGCCCCTCTCTTTCTTCCCGAACAAGCGGCCGATGGACGACTTGATGCCTCTGCGCTTGGCACCCTTGTGCAAGGAGTCCTGGCTGCTGCTGCTGCTGCTGGGGTTGCTGCCCTGGTCCTCCACGGCACTGCAGGGTGGCACCAGGAGGGGAGAAGAAACAGACTTAAATCACAGCAGGAGGGAGGAGGTCAGGCCTGGGAAGAACTTACAGTAA